ATTTTCATTGTTACAAATTGAACATAATTAAAGCACAGTGATTAATCACAAAAACAATATGTAATTATACATGTGTTTTCCGATGGTCTTAGGCGACCCCTGTGAAAGGGTCGTTCGATCCCCCAAAGGGGTCGCAACCCACAGGTTGAGAACCGCTGGTCTAGAGCCTAGCACAGTGCCTGACACATAAAAAGCAAATGGAATATTTGTTGATTAAGTGAATGGGTAAGGTGAATAATACCTATTAAACTGATTGCACAGTCACCTCAGCCTGATTAAAAAGAAAAGTCCCCTTTTTTTAAAGGGGGTGGTACAAAAGCACAAAGGAAGTTCAGAATTGAAAAATTTGGACCTAGTTCCTTCTCACTTTTTCAGAAATTTCGCTACAAAATTCTCTCTTCTTGTGGAGAAAAGGGATTCCTTGTGCACTGTTGGTGGGAATGCAGACTGGTGCAGCCACTGTGGAAAATAGTGTGGAGTTTCCTCAAAATATTAAAAATGGAACTGTCTTTTGACCCGGGGATCATACTTCTGGGAATATATCCTAAGAATCCCAAAATACCAATCAGAAAGAATATATGCACCCCTATGTTCATAGCAGCATTATTTACAATAGCTAAGATTTGGAAACAGCCCAAATGCTCATCTGTGGAGGAGTTGGGGGGAAAAGCTGTGGTACATTTACACAATGGGATACTATGTGGTTGTAAAAAAGAATGAACTCTTACCTTATGCCACAGCATGGATGGACCTGGAGATTATTATGCTAAGCAAAATAAGCCAGGCAGAGAAAGACAAATATCATATGACCTCACTTATATGTGGAATCCAAATGAACAAAATAAACGGAAAAAATAGAACTAGAGGCATGGATACACGGAACAGACTGACAGAGGTCAGAGGGGAGGGGATGGGAAGGATGGATGAAAGAATTAGCCAAAGAGCAAAACCCATGGACACAAACAGCAGTGTGGTAATGGTCAGAGGGAGGGGGTGCAGGGACTGGGTGGAGGTGGGCAAAGAAGGGGCAATGGGGGATATCTGTAATAGTGTCCAAAAAAAAAAGAAAACAAAATTATCTGTTCTTTTCTACATCATCAAGTTTTCCTTCTCTGCTAGATCATTCCAAACATGCCTTGATATCATTTTCTATAAATTAAAAACAAACAAACACCAACTCTCATAACTCTTTCTTCTATTTCTCTGCACCCTTCAAAGAAAAGCTTCCACGGTTAACTATGGTGGATGTTTCCATAGTTTCACCTCGCATTTTCTCATCACTTCAGATTAATCTGGCTACGGAGCCCATCACTCCACTAAAATTGCTCTTGTCAAGGTTTCACTAAAATAGACTTACTTAACTGATTTATCCAGAAATATAGCCCAGAGAGATGGAGTATATGGAAAAGAAGTTAAGAGACATGAAGAAAAATTAAGTCTAATCAGAATTACATTAGGAAGTAACAGAATGAGGAAGAGGCAATATTTGAAGAGACAAGGCTGAGAGTTTAGCAAAATTGTTGAAAGTCATCAATCCTTGAAATATACGAAGTACTACAAATCCATAACTAGACATATCATAGTAAAACTACAGATCATCGAAGAAAAAAATTATTTAAAACTACCAGCGACAAGCCCTGGCTGCTGTGGCTCAGTTGGTTGGAGCGTTGTTCAGTACACCAGAAGGTGTCGGGTTCCATTCCTGCTCTGGGCACATGCTCAGATTGCTGGTTCAATTCCCAGTCAAGGCACATATAGGAGACAACCAATCGATATTTCTCTCTCTCTTCTCTTTTCTCTCCCCCCCCCCCCCCCGCTCCTCCAACCCCCAACAATGAATATAGAGCGTCAGCCTGCAGACTGAAGGGTCCCAGGTTATATTCCAATCAAGAGCACATACCTTGGTTGCAGGTTCCCTGGCCCTGGTCGGGGTGTGCACAGGAGGCAACCAATTGATGTGTCTCTCTCACATTGATGTTTCTCTCTGTCTCTCCCTCTCCCTTCCATTCTCAAAAAAAAAAAATCAATGGAAAAATATCCTTGGGTGAGGATTAACAAAAACAAACAAACAACAAAAGAATGATTGTTGTAGCTTGCCTTTTAATACTAAAAAAATAGAAACATTCAAATATTCATCAATAGTGGAATGAATAAATAAATTGCAGTAAATTCACATAATGGAGTATTTTACAGGACACACATCAAATGAATGAATTCAGTGATGATTTTCAAAATATTTAATAACTGGCCAGCACAGACACTGACCAACTGGAATGACACCAAATAGAGACAGGTTCAGCCATGCAATTACACACCAGCTAAATACAAGCAATTTGTGAATCCAAAAAAAACATAACGTAGAAAAAGAGTTGTCATGAAGTAAAACACATGCTATGATTCCAAAACCAAAAAAAATATTGTTTAGAAATAGATGCAGCCCTGGTCGGTTTGCCTCAGTGGATAGTGTCAGAATGTGGACTGGAGGGTCCCAGGTTCGAATACGGTCCAGGGCACATGCAGGGTTACAGTCTCAATCCCCAGTAGGGGGCGTGTGGGAGGCGGCTGATCAATGCTTCTCTCTCATCATTGATGTATCTGTCTCTCTCTCCCTCTCCATTTCTCTCTGAAATCAATAAAAATATATATTTTTAAAAGAAATAGATGCATATGTGCTAAAACTATAAAGAAAAGAGTGATTAACAATAAATCTAAGATAGTGCTACTCTCTTGGGGTGGAAGGAGCACTGTAATAAGTAAAGGATTAACAGGAATCTTCTAAGGTACTGGTTCTAGTCCATTTCTTAATCTGGAAGTTGAACATGTTTACCTTTAAATGGTACTCATTTTACACATTCTTTTGTACATACATTTCAAATTTTAAAATTAAGAAGAAAATAAGATCTTAAGAAATGAATATTAAGGAGCTCACAGAATCAGGGAGGCTGGAAAACCAGCCTCTGATCTATGTATGGAGGAGCAAGGTCTGAAACCATGCCAAAACACAGGTCTGGTGACCATCACACTGAAGCTTGCAGCACCACCTTTTATGCCTGGGGCCTTGACCATCCTACAAACTCTACTGCTGGGTAAGAATCCTCTTCAGGTCCTGATTTTTATATCTTTACTCCTGAGTCCAAATCTAGCACAGATTCATCTAACAGAGTCCAAGCCACCTGTCCACAACCTAGCTGCAAGTGAGGTTGGGAAAGTGAATATCTGGCACTTAGGTTCTTTTAATTGGGCATCTATTATACCCAATTCTAGACTCTAGGGATACAACAGGGAACAAAATCCCCATCTTTACACAATTTATATCCTATGGGGGTAG